GAGCAACGTTACCTTTGCACCCATGCAGACAACAAGCCCAGAGGGAACGGGCTGATGTTCAAAATGATTGACATCCTTCGGAGTCAATGCTGGAAAGCAGACACTGTTATCATTTTGTGCAACTAGCTTTTGGTGCAGTTTCCATTTATGTATGTGTAGCTTTTGGCTTCAGCTCCTGTTGAGACCCCCATGTAGGGCTCAAGCTTTTCCAGGATAATTCGGAAGACAGTGACATTGACTCCCACTGGCATCACCTCCTTGCCCCAAAGGTGAGAGATGAGGATGACCCCAAGGAGCTGAACAATTGGGGGAGGGGGAGATGGGCCCTTTTACCTGCCGAGAAGGGCATGAAGTGGTCACTCTTCCTGAAGGTCCCGTCTTTGTTCAAGAAATGTTGTGGGTCAAATTCTGTGGGGTTTGGAAACTCTTTGCTGTCGTACAGCACAGACGTCAGGACAGGGAAGATGGTGGTGCCCTGAGGAGAGGGAAAAGAAGCGGGTTATGCCGTTTGCTGTTCGTGTTTGAGTAGGGATGCTTCTGATGTACGTTGTGCTTCTCCTCCCTTCACCTGACCAAGAGCCAGGTTTCCAAACCCCCTTCTTAGCCCCTTTCCCTTTCCTTCTTGTTCCTCTTGGCTTTTCTGTCCAAATCCAATGTTTTAAATGAGTTTGGACCTCTTAAAATCAGTGAAAGTGAGCTCAGTCAGGAGTTTCCCCTCTTGTGCAGGGAATCTACTCTCCCTGGGACCAACTGTTGCATTCAAGCCTTTATGTTTGCCATTCCTTTGGATGAGTGTAGGTACTTAGGGTCCTCCAAAGCTCTCCCACGGTTGTTATTTTGACCGATTTGTGTGAACTGATCGAGGTATTACTCAATGACGTATTGCAACGACAAGGGACGTCACGGCTCCTAGAACTTCAAATGAAGCTGGTGGGGTAAGTGCCTGCTGTGTACGGGTGAAGTATTAGGATTCAGACAATGATGACTAATGACAAATTGGCAGATGGGGGCGGAGATGGAGGGAATGAAGGAGGGAGGGAGAAACAGACGGAGTGTCTCAGGGATGCTTCATTGCTGATTTATCTCAACTGACTTTGAGAGATGGGTTAAATCAAGGGTGGGCAAAATGCAGCCCCCCCCAACAACATTTTGTTCCCTCCAGCACTGTTGCCCTACCAACCAACCCTTATCACCCTCTCAAATATTTGAGGATTTAAAAGAACATATCTCTCCTTCACTGTTTTTCAGAAAAATTCCTTTAAAATCTTTGCAAGACGTAGAGGAATGTAGTCCCTCCTCCTTTTTAAACAAAAAGCTTTACTTAAAAAAAACAAACCCAAAATTTCTTAAAAACACAATTTAAAAAACCCAAAATATTACATTTCAACCCATTTTTCAGGAAATTAAAATGACAAACACCCTAACTGTTAGCACAGAGTGATAGTGGAACCAGTTACTTCAAGGGGAGGTGTTCCAAAACTGGAAATATTCAAGAAAAACGTAGATAATCACCTGGCTTTGATGGTATTCCTGTATTGAGCAAAGGGGGGGGTTGGACTGGATGGCCTTGTAGGCTCCCTTCCAACTTCACTTTTCTATGATTTCTATGATTCTATGATTCCATGATTCTATTCTCACGACCTGTACAAATATGAACCATGGTGAACAAAATTTAATATGCACCCCGATTTCTTTGGCCACGTCTAAAGGACTTGCCCCTTGGAAGCTCAGCTTTTTGGCTCCTGGGAAGACAGAAACACAGCCCTGAGCCCTGCCAAGATCCATGCGCCTACATCAGTCCTCTCGGTCACACAGGAGCTCCTGTTTTGCCCTAGAAGCCAGTACCTTTGGGATGACGTATTGTCGGAAAGGGGTGTCTTTGGCCACTGAGTGGGGGAGACTCAGTGGGATGAGAGAGATGAACCTCTGGATTTCATGGACGACGGCGTCTGTGTAAGGCATCTGCCCACGGTCAGCTACGCACGGTGCCCTGGCTCGGCCGACCACACGGTCAATCTCTTCATGCACTTTCTCTGGAAAGGGATGGGAAA